AGAAGAATAATCGACTGTGATTGGTCAATTTCTTACTCTTACTTCTTACTCCGTGTATTGTAGACGGGCCTTAAGGGGATGCTGGAGTGACGGTCGAACTTAATCAAGATCGATAATACAGACTTTTTTAAATTCCAAATTCGATAATATAGTGACATCTTTCATTTATTTATTATACTTATTATATATCGTTGTGTCTCGCTCAAACGCGTTCATCTGTCCTTATCTAACATATTGCAACGCCATCTCTTAAGGCCCGTCTACAATACACGGAGTAAGGAGTAAGAGTAAGAAATTGACCAATCACAGTCGAATGTGAGAAGAATAATCGACTGTGATTGGTCAATTTCTTACTCTTACTTCTTACTCCGTGTATTGTAGACGGGCCTTTAGAAAGAGATTAGCTAAAATACTGCTCGGTTGCATGGCTTCACGTCAATTTCACTCGTAATATACAAACGAAATTTCGGCGACTTTTTTCTCTTATACTAAAGCCCCTACCTCGTTTCTAAAAGCATAGGATTGTTCTTCGAGGTTTTCTGTAGGCTGCTGGCTACTTATTTTAAACAGGTAAAATCTGAAACTCTTATATGCAGCATATATTGACGAGTTGAATCAGGGAATGGAAAGTTACTTTTTAAAAGTAACAAGTTACAGTTACTCGTTACCGAGTAGGAAAAGTAACAAGTTACCGTTACTAGTTGCCGATTTTTAAAAGTAACTCGTTACAATTACCGTTACTTGAGAAAGTAACTTTTCGTTACTTTTCCGTTACTTTTTTTTAAATCGACGACCAACAATCACAGCGGACGAGCCTAGAGGCTTCTCTAATCTCAAGCGCGTTGTAAAAAATTGTGTAAAATTATAACTATTATGCTGGATAATTTTGAGATCCACTATAATAGTTGTAAACGTCCACACATTTGTAAATTTGCAATATGCAAATAAAAATAATTTCTTGGTTTGGAACTAAGCAGATTGTGGAAGTACAATTACAATGTGTATGTGTAGCTACAAGAACGATAATATGACAATATATTTCGCACTATATATTATTATACATTTAATAACAATACACGAAAAATTTCTTTTATGTTACGTAATATTACTAAAATTTGGATAATTACAGAAAATATTCAAAATATCCTGCTATTTACACAATTTCCAATATAAAATAAGATATATTTACACAATAAAAACAAATTTACATAATTTTTGTGGAATTACTGTAATTTCTGTAAAATTGCATGATTTTTTATATTTACAGAACAAATCATGTAATCTATTTTATATTTATTATATGTGTAAATTTACGAAATTTTTTTACAGTGTAAGTGGCTTGTGTCGTATCGTGTCCAATCATGTGCAAAGTAACGATAAAAGTAACTGTAAAATTCGTTACCGTTACCAAAAAAATGTAACTTCGTTACCGTTACAGTTACCAAAGAAAAAAAGTAACGCAGTTACTAGTAAAGTTACCAAAAAAGTAACTTGTAACTGTAACTTCGTTACAAGTAACAAGTTACTTCCATTCCCTGAGTTGAATACAGAAGCCGATGACAAAACCACAATTTTTAATTTTCTTTCATTTTTATTAAATTGTAGCTGGCAGCCTGTGTTGTGTGTGTTGTCGATACTTTAATTATGGAAAGGGACTTTTCAATCCATAGTTTTTGTCATTTATGAAGGGATAAAATTTATAATACAAGGGTTAAACTTTTAACTTAAGGGGATGCTGGAGTGACGGTCGAAGTTAATCAAAGTCGATAGTACAGACTTTTTTACATTCCAAATTCGATAATAGTGACATCTTTCATTCATTTCTTATACTTATCTATATCGTTGTGTCTCGCTCAAACGCATTCATCTGTCCTTATCTGACATATTGCAACGCCATCTCTTAGAAAGAGATCAACTAAAATACTGCACGGTTTCATGGCTTCACGTCAATTTTATTCGTAGTATACGAACGAAATTTTTGACGACTCTTTTCTCTTGTACCAAAGCCCCTACATCGTTTCTAAAAGCATAGGATTGTTGTTCAAGGTTTTCTGTAGGCTGCTGGCTACTTATTTTAAACGGGTAAAATCTGAAACTCTTATATGCAGCACACATTGTGACGAGTTGACTGCAGGAGCCGGTGACAAAACTACAATTTTTAATTTTCTTTCATTTTTCGCATTACATTGTAGCTGGCAGCCTGTGTTGTTGTCGATACTTTAATTGTGGAGAAGGACTTTTCAATCCATAAACACAATTAAGAGAAAAGAGTCTTTAAAAATTGATGGTAAAACAGGACACTCCAGCATCCCCTTAAGACGATCTTGGATATAAGATTTGACTATGAATACTGGCCGTAGACACCCTGCCGTTTTCATGCGTGCATGAACGGAGCATGGGCCGGTATTCATAGTCGGATCTTATATTTAAGACCGTCTTAAGTACAGTCTTAAGATGTCATGAACCAATCAGAAGGCCGCATTAGCGACTTAAGACATTACTTAAGACGGTCTTAAAATAAGAACCGACTATGAATACCGGCCATGGAGTGAAACGGAACGCAGCCTTTGAAGGCCCGTCTACAATACACGGAGTAAGAAGTAAGAGTAAGAAATTGACCAATCACAGTCGATTATTCTTCTCACATTCGACTGTGATTGGTCAATTTCTTACTCTTACTTCTTACTCCGTGTATTGTAGACGGGCCTTGATACACCACGGTTAAGCGGAGAGCACAGACTCTTGCATAACGCTTAACACGTAATGCATACGAATATGTACCAATCGAAGTTCTCCGTTTCTTTCCCTTCCATGTAATAGAGAACTCTGGTTAGTTCAATTTCTTATGCTTCATGTGTTATGCGTTATGCAAGCCCAGATAGACAAGCGTGCGATACCCGCACAAGATACCGCTACCGTACTGTTACTGTACTGCCACGAGGTGGCGGTGTACGGCGTAACTGTACGGTAGCAGTACAAAAAGTGTACGTGATATTATAGTACAGCGTATCAACACTGTACCTGTACTGCGTACTATTTAGGTACGTCATGGTACATAACCCCTACCATATCAATACGGTGTACCATTATCGACAGGAGAGAAACTGTGGAAACCTCTAGTCGAAGACGATATACATGATAACTGGTACTGCGAAAATACAGCTTATAATTGCCTAACCTGAAAATAGTCGTTACAACATTAAAATGAAATATTAGACAGTAACTGACTGGATGTTCAATTGAAGTGCATAAATTTCTATCAGGACCATATATATATTGAACAGATATATCATAGCTATACATCCACGATTATGTAAGTGTTCGTGGATCATCGAAGTGCACCGGTTTCCAGACGATTTCAGAAGTCAAGCATAGTAAATGGCGGTATGCAACCGGATGGGTGACCGACCGCTTCGAAGTACTATGAAATTAGTTCCCGAATTCAGGGAAAATCTTTTTTATTTTTTTTTTCATCATAATTTTATGATGTGTACTCTAGAATAAGATAATTAATCAATAATAATACTCATTTTAGCAATAAAACTATAAAATTAATTAATTTTAATAATATGCGTACCTAAGGCGTACATTATCGGTACGGCGTACTAAAAATACGGTGTACCGGTACTGTACCCTTTAGGTACGCACGTACCTGACAGGTACGGTATCGGCACGCATAGTACGCTGTACGCTCACCATACTAATACCGTGTAGGTATTTGTCTATCTGGGAGAGTCTGTGCTCCCCGCTTATCCCTATCACGTTCCTCCCTCTTCTTCCATATTCGAATATATTTTTCTTTCGTTGGTAATGTCAAATGTGATAAATAACTATGAAAAACAATTGCAATTAAAAAAATTTGACTCACAGATAATTTTGTAATTATTTTTATACTACATAACAAATTGACATTTAATCATTGTTTATTGTTTAAATAAATTAAAAAATAATCACAATAATAATAAATTAATAATAATAGCAGTTCTCTCTGATAATAGTAGTATCTAAATTATATTATTAGTATTATTTTCAGTCTTTTTTGTGTTTTTTACATTGTTATCTTTCTTTATAGTCTTAAATTATTTCAGTTTCTAGTATTTTTTATTATTTTTGTACTGTTACATAATTATATTCTGTGGAGTTTAGTATTAATTAAAATATAAAGAATTGTCAATTTATAATTATATAGTATTATATATATATATTTATATATATATTTTTAACAAAATCAACTACCGTAGATATATTACCTACTGGAAATATCCGTGGTTGCAGTACTACGTAGTTAAAGGGGCGTTTTGTGCATATAGAGGCGTAGTAATCGATTTCTTTCTAAAACGCGGTTACATTTACGATAGGTTTACTTGGATTTACTTCACGAGTTTATTCCATTTCGGAAAGTCTTTTTACATTTCATTGGAAGTGCTAAGACGCGTACAGGTACGTCGAACCACGTCGAACATTCTGGCAAAATGGCGGAGAAGTCACGTCGTGTAGCGCAAACGGAAGATTTATCGAACGTTGAGTTCGAAACCAGCGAAGATGTCGAGGTTATTCCTACCTTCGACAACATGGGTCTCCGTGACGAATTGTTACGCGGAATCTATGCGTACGGTACGTCGTTTATTATTTTATTTGTCAACTTAACCTCAGCTTTTGCAGGACTTATTTTGTTTAAATTGGTCGCGTTCAACAGACTCAACTGTTGTGGAGCGAATCCATGAGCGCTCGCTGCTATTGGATGATCTAGAAGAATACACCAATAGCAGCGAGTGCTCATGGATCTGCTCCACAACAGTTGAGTGTGCTGAACATGACCATTGAATCTTAGGAGCACATTTGGAAATACCATACCACCCGAGTTGCCCTGTGCATCACTCTATCCTTGTTTAACATTCGATAAACAATGCACAAGAAGTCTGTTTTTTTTCCTGCACTAAAACTTTTTCCAAATATCAAACATATCTATCTCACTTTAAATTCCAAAAGTGTATTCTAGTTCAGCCATAAAAAATACCTACAGGGATAAAATGATATACAGGGATGATGTTTCTAAATGTAGTTCAGATCTTCAGATGATTATAAAAAAAGCAGATTATATTTTACATATATAATCAACTCAATACACATATCTGTTCTGTGAAAATATTGATTATTGTAATTGTTAGCTACTTATTCTTATGTTTATATTATTTATAGTGGTGTTTATTATATTTTTTTATCTTTATAATTTCTTTGTAGCTTAGTTATCACAATGTTAAAAAACTTATAATAATGAAATTTGTAACAGTTACTACTTGAATGTTTTTAAATATTCCGTTTTTATTTTTACATAGGTTTTGAAAAACCATCAGCTATTCAGCAACGATCTATTAAACCTATTATGAAAGGCAGAGATGTTATCGCTCAAGCTCAATCTGGTACAGGAAAAACTGCTACCTTCTCAATTGCGATATTACAGTCACTGGATACACAAGTACGAGAAACTCAAGTTTTGGTTTTGTCTCCAACTCGAGAACTTGCCACTCAAATCCAGAAAGTTATCCTTGCATTGGGAGATTTTATGAATGTACAATGTCATGCTTGCATTGGTGGTACAAATCTTGGAGAAGACATCAGAAAACTCGATTATGGCCAGCATGTTGTATCTGGTACACCTGGTAGAGTATTCGGTAGGTATCATACTTTATTATATATATAATTTTATTGTATGCATATTTTTATTATATATATTTAATGTGAGAACGAATTTTTAACACTAACATCTGTATAACATTCTGAAACTTAGATATGATTAAAAGGCGAGTACTCAGAACCAGAGCTATCAAAATGCTGGTACTTGACGAATCTGATGAAATGTTAAACAAAGGTTTCAAGGAACAAATATATGATGTGTATCGATATCTCCCACCAGCAACACAAGTTGTTTTGGTTTCGGCCACTTTACCGCATGAAATTCTTGAAATGACTAGCAAATTTATGACAGATCCTATCCGTATCCTTGTCAAACGGTAAATAATTTATCTTCAACTTTTATTGTTAAACTTGTATATATGTTATATGTTGTGTATATATCCTAATTATTTCTAATTCCAGTGATGAATTGACATTGGAAGGAATCAAGCAATTCTTCGTTGCTGTGGAACGAGAAGAGTGGAAATTTGACACGCTCTGTGATTTATACGACACGTTAACAATAACACAAGCGGTTATCTTTTGTAATACTAAACGTAAAGTAGACTGGTTGACGGAAAAAATGCGAGAAGCTAATTTTACGGTATGCTCCATGCATGGAGATATGCCACAGAAAGAACGAGATAACATAATGAAAGAGTTTCGATCTGGTCAGAGGTAGGTATTAAATTCTAAAAATAAAATTTAAAAATATTTGATTTTTTGCAAAAAATTATACCAACACGTTCCTTTTTTTACAGCCGTGTGTTAATTACAACCGATGTATGGGCAAGAGGAATCGATGTTCAGCAGGTGTCACTCGTAATTAACTATGATTTGCCTAACAATCGTGAATTGTATATTCATAGAATAGGTCGATCAGGACGTTTTGGACGCAAAGGTGTGTCTATAAACTTTGTAAAAACTGATGACATCAGAATTCTTCGAGATATCGAACAATATTATTCTACACAAATAGACGAAATGCCGATGAATGTGGCTGATCTAATATAAAATACGAGATTTATGCGAAAATTAAACATTTCACACGTACAAAAATTCTTTAACTTCGATTATACGTTAATATACATGAAATCATATGATTCTATCAATAACAGCATATACCAATAGTTCCCAAAGTAAGAGTTCCAATAGTTCCATACAAATAATTCCCAGTTTAAAGATTGAAAACCCTTCGATGCTTAGTATCCCTAAGTTATTTTTAGTATGTAACGTATATTTTTCTTATAACAATAATAAACGGAGAAAAGTATTCCATCACTTTTACATCATATAAAACTATTTGAATGTAATATGTGAGAAAACTAAACTAACTATACTTTCTACATCTACTAGAATGCATCATTGATAACAGATTCTTTTATGAGAATGTAGAATAAATTCTTTTTTGTACATGAATTATATAGATATTACTTATGTATAAAATTATGAGAAGTATGAGTAGATCTTGTCAATAAAGTATTTTATGACTTTAATTATTTTTTCTCTATGTAAATATTAGTTACAATATAGAAACTAACGGCATTGAAGTAATATGCATAACATACATTCTATATATCTACATACAAATAATCAATAACTGCTGTAGTTGCCCTACAGTTCAGATGGCAGCGCGGCATAGCATAGTAACACGCGTTAGACCCGAAATGAAGCCAAAATAGGAAAACTAAAAATCTTACGTTAACAATGCGTAACTCTATAAATACAAGTAAATATTGTTTATCGCATTAAAAATGTGGGCGAAGTATTTAAGATGCAATAATCGATTAGTAATAAGAATAGTTATTTATTTTCGTGATAATAACATTGGAGGTGTGTTATGAAGGTGCAGCTTTAAATAATATATACATATATAGTGATTACAATATTTTAAATTAAGAAGGTAAGTGATATTAACGAAATTGAGAGTGAATAAATTAACAGTATAAGTCAATGTGTATGTGTAATTACAGTTTGTTTTTTATTCCTCTATTAATAGATTCTATACTCAATCAATAAAAATTAAAGAAAAATTGAAGGAAATGGAGCAACAAAATGATTGCTCGATCCAGAGAGGACAACCATTGCGTCGCTATCCAAATGACTACAAAGCGGAAGGACACTCGTCCACCTGTATGTGTCTATAAATTATTTTGAATCTATAGGAACTGATATTTTTCAATATTTACTATTTTTGTCCCCTTTTTTATTTACAGTAAATAAAACAACGACAAACCAGCCACAGTATTCGAATACAGGAAGACCTACAGTACGCATAGCTGTGTATCTAATGACAGGGGTATTTCTAACAATGGAAGTTGAACAAAATACGACTGCACAACAGATTTTTACGATAGTGCAATCAGAAGCGGAGCTGGGTCTATCAAGATTCTCATTGTCAACCACTACACCAATTTTCGCACTATGGATGTGTTCTTCGCAGCTGGAAGTTCAATTACGTCCAACACACAAACCCGTGGAATTAGCTGCGAAATGGAATTATCTTGTAAACAAGTACAGCTCTTATGCAGAAGATTCCGACGATGAGGAGCCTTTGTTATATTTTCGTAGAAATATATTTCTCTCAAAGTCGGAGGAAGAACAGATCAAGGATATCAAAGTTCTTGAATTACTTTACGCAGAAGCCAGGTACAACGTTCTACAAGGTATGGAACGAAAGAATAAGCTCCTTTCTAAAATAATACATATAATTTCTCGTATAATATAATTTGTCTTCTGTCCAGGACGGTACGCGTGCGATGGTCCTGCACGTTACGCTAGTTTAGGAGCGTTACAGGCTCGAATCGAACTCGGACCTTATAACGCACAAACCCACACCTTGGCATTTTTCCATAGACATCGCGGCCGGTTTTTACCGCATCATTACGCTTCTCCCAGTCTTCTATTAGGATTGGGACTCGGATTAGGACTGGTGGGTGGCAAGGGAGCACCTGAGGCGCATCTCTTAGAGCAATACAAACGAATACCTAGTCATAATGGTAGCGCCAACGCAAATCCCAAGAAATTGATCAGAAAGTATCTCGAATTCTGTTGGAACTTACCGTGCTACGGCGCAGCCTTCTTTCAAGGGCAAATCGAGCGACCCGTTAGAGGCCTAGCATCATGGATCACTAATCGCGATATGCAGATTCTCATCGCGATTAATACGTCGGGAGTGTTCATAGTCGACGACATACAGTGCGTAAGTACAGTATTCATTGAGCCAAAATTCTTATTTAAATGTGATTATTTTTTGAACGAAACTTTATATAAAATACATCTATAGAATATATAGTATAGTAACATTTGAAATATATTTATGTAGAGCTTGCTATTAGGGCTAAAATACTCGGAATTAAGCTGGGAAATGGCGAAACCTTCGGATGAAAATAATCCGGATTGTCTACCTTGTTTGTTTCTGCAATTTCCGGTACGAGAGAACGGAGCGCGCGTCTATAAGATTCTACAAGTATTCTCAAGACAGGTAAATAAATCATTTTGAAAATAATTACATAATTTATATAAATAATGGCTTCCGAACAAATCAAATCTGAACGATAAAGGAGCATAAAAGCCAACGCAGGATGACAATGCAATAATACATTACTTTACACATATATCAATAAACGTTTCGACTATATATCTGATCATCTTCAGTATTACAAATCAAATCAATATCAACCGCTACTTGCTATATTATCGTTAACTCATCATTCTACAAATTACTTATACTAATATAAAAGTCCGTCACGCAAGGATTCTTAGTTCTCTTTGGTTTGATTTGTAATACTGAGGATGATCAGATATATGATCGAAACGTTTATTGATATATATATAAATTAAAGTAATATATTATTGTATTGTCACTCTACGTTGGCTCCTTTATCGTTCGAAAATTACATAATTACTTTTATGAAAACGAAATATCATACAGCAGAGAGAGATCGCTATTTCAGGCGCCAATGATGGATACTTTAATATCTGGATTTGCGGAGGATTATCGTCGTCAATTTATTAACTGCGATAGCAACAATGACCAGTTGGAGCATTCGTTAGTTTTCCCCGGTGGAAGCTTCACAAATAAACTCAGTAAATTTACGTTGGCCACTTTTGATGATGAAGGTAATGAAACGATACTACAAGATCTTCATATGTTAATTTATTTACTTTTCAAAATTATTTCAGGTCGATGTATCGGTCAAATGGGTTCGTGGTCCTTTCGATAAGTACATTGTGATTGTACATTTTGTGATGCCAATATACTCTCTGACGATATAAAACGAGTACGATTTTTGTAATATATAAGAAATTCTTCTTATACGCGCGAGCTAATATACTTATATGTATACATATTTTTTAATATGATGTTTCAATGTTTCTGAAGTACTTGAAGATGCGGATTTCGCCGTAAACGATCTACCAATACCCTGTATCTCTGCGGCACTACACCTCTGTGCCAATTGAGATACGTTTCCAGTACATGCATATTGAAGCTTATTTCGTTTATCTTGGCTAACATCTCTTCCTTCTTCGTTTTCGATAAATCCACAGTCTGCATGTAAATGTTATTTATAATAATTATGAAAATACATCAATGTTGAAAACATTGATACACGTAGAAAAGAGTGCTTGGGTGTGAACGAATGGGCAGAACGAAGCTTCTGACAAACCTGCGTTAGAAGGGCTTGCATCTTCTCTAGTTCCGTGGCTTGCTTTTCAATCATATGTAAAATACGATTCGCTTTGTCAATGGACGTCTGCTTGAAGTCGCTCAAACAATCGTCGCGCAGCAGATATGCTTCCGTTTTACTGATGTGTGCCGGATTGCCTATTCGGGCGAGGTACGGTCCCAAATCGTTTATCTCTTGCATAATATCTTCGCGTTGACTCGGTTGCCTTATTCCTTCCTGAAAGCAAATTGTGAGGCTGATTAATAAAAAAAAATTCAATTAGATCGTTGATAAATACCGTGTCTAATTCAATTGTTTCGGCTATTCGATTTTTGTCGAATAACGAAACTGTGAGCTGCGGATTTAAATTTTCATCGGCTCTTCTTCGCAGGAACGCCGCGATATCTTCTTCAGCATCTCTGATTTGGAGTATGGAGCGATCTTCGTCCTTCAGATGTTTATCGAGTGCGTAAAAGAGATCGAGGTTTTTCTCTGGCAGTGCGTTTGGATCGGGCTGCAAAAAATAAAGACTTCAGATTATCGTCTTCCTCTATTTGTTAATATTTTTGTTATAAGGAGAATTTACGTTATATCCGTGGGTCATCATGGGATTGAAAACTAAACGATCTTCCCTGTCTCCTATCGACGGTTTTATAAATGTACGAGTAGCCTGGGTAATCCGATTTTGTTCGTAATGAAATTTAATGCAGATTTCTTTTCCGATCACCGCGAACTCGCGTTCAGCCATGTCTTTGGAAGCCGGAATGTCCTCGTTTCTATGATACTTCTCAATGATTTTCTGCAAGATGCAAAAAGAATTAATCATCTCATGTACGCTGTAAATTTTTCATCAATTTTTATACGAGGAGATTACCGAGATGTGTCGAGAATGAATATCGTCCACCGTCGTGTGGTCTTCCACCAAAAATTCAGCATGTCTATTAAAATAATATGAAAGTATTATTAATATTAATATTAATATTATTGATAATAATTTATTATTAACAAAAATAGCAACAATATTAGTTATTAATGGTATTACATATACATATTGTATGAGAAAAATTTGTACGTGCAACAGAAATGTGCAAAGCTCGAAAGATTTGATTTTCTTTCGATATGTTAGAACTTTTCGAGAGACCTGACATGGTGAGAATAGAAATATGATAGACATTATCGGTTTACCTGTAATACACAAAATCTTCACGGTCCACGTAATGTTGAGTCAAATAAAGCGGACCCATCTCGATTCGCGAGAGTCCATCAAATTGCAGGCTATCATAAAACTCTATTGTTCTTTCGTCATTTATTGAATCACTGTCGGATGCAAGATAACGATGTGCTAAAAAATATTTTATATCGTTAATATAAAGCGATACGCTCCAGCAAACACAAGTTACTTGTAACGTACCCGTTAGTTGTAATTTCCCACTCAACAATATAATTGTAATATAACACGTGTGTTATATTACAGTTATATTGTTGAGTGGGAAATTACAACTAACGGGTACGTTACATGTAACTTTGCTGGGGCAGAGTTCACGTATTGTAACATTTTTACTCCGAATTATACCTTTACAATGATCCGGTCGGCCCTTTTCAAAGAAATCCGTGACGATACCGGTAGTGAAGTTTTTATTGGATTCCGTAAGACAGTCAACTCTATTCAAATATTTTTCGTAACTTTCGACAGGAGTAGTATATTCGTAATCTTCATAAACAGTTATTCTTTGAATCAAACTGTTGGTTTCAGAGAACGGCGCATATAATTTTACTTTGGACTTTTTGTAAAGTATTGTTTTACTACCTCGTGGATAACGTCTTTCAAAATCTGAAAAAATTATGTATAGATAAATAAATATGTAACGAATCAGGGAACTGATATTATTATTATGTTCATTGACTTTAATTTCAACTTTTTGATCATATGTATAATTTCATTTTTTTACGAAAAAGATGTGACAAAAGGTATATTATACATATATATTAAATTAAAGTTTTTATCTTTTCGAGCTTATAACGAAAATAAATTTTATATCTTAAATATATATGTAGATTAGATTTAATTTTTTTTAAATAAAATAAACAAGCGTGGCTTTTTTGCCTTTTTACAATTTAATTATTTGAATTTTATTCGTTGGAGCCTACATTATTTTTAATTTCAAACTTAAAATAATTAATCGAAAGATTTATTAAGAATGAAGATTAAGTAAATTATGTGTAAACAATTAAAACATTTTATTGACTACATCTATAGATATATCTAATCAAAAATTTACCCATTAAATATATATACATATCTATATTAGATAGTAGAATTCAAATTGAAATTAAAATAACGGTATCTTCATTAGATTCTTTAATTAAAATCGATATTTCAGACGATAAGACTCTCAGAGCTGTGTGTGTGTTATATTACAGTTATCAAAGCATAGAGAATGGACTGCGGAATCCGTATCTAAGTAATGTATCAAATGTGGTCGACAATAATGAGAGGGAGGGACCGTGGGAGACGGCCAATCGCCCTCTCATTCTCTCTCCCATTACATCATTGAATGGAAAGAGATAGAAACGGCCGTCTGCCACGGTCCCTCTCTCTCATCCCTATCGACCATTTTGACACACGGATCGCGTAGTCCATTCTCTATGTGTTTGACAGTTATATTATTGAGTGGGAAATTATAACTAACGGGTTCGTTACATGTAATTTTGTGTTTGCTGGGTTGTTGTTTCGACGCAATATTTTATAGGTAATAACTATTTCCTATTACGCTATAATTTTCCGAAATACCTATTCTTCACGTTTTGAATTTTTTATCGATATGAAGATTAGCTCTTATAACCTTCGTTAAACAGAGTTCGGGTAATACGCGAGTCGGACCGGTTAAAATACCAAAATGCGAATGATAATTTATTATAATTTCCCAGCAAAACACAAAGTTACATGTAACTTACCCGTTAGTTGTAATTTCCCACTCAACAATATAACTGTAACATGGTAGAAATATATAAGGTGAAGCAATCTGATAGATGCGCAGTAGGAAAGTGCATATTCGGACATATTTGATTGGCTATTCCAGTATAACCTGCGCTATTATAGGTAGGAAAGTACATATTCGGACATATTTGATTGGCTATTTCCAGTATTGCTACCGCCATTATGCGTATTGTTTCACCTTATATATTTCCACCATGAACTGTGAAGGCCCATCTACAATACACGAAGTAAGAAGTAAGAGTAAGAAATTGACCAATCACAGTCGATTATTCTTTTCACAATCGACTGTGATTGGTCAATTTCTTAAGCTTTGTGTCCACGATGGTATAAATCGGTCCGAGACCTGGATGAAGAAAGAATTGATCAATCGTAATAGTCATGTGATCAAATTGTTCAAATGTGATTTGTTAATTTTTTCTCTGTCCGAGATCTCGGACCGATTTCTAGCATCGTGGACATCGGGCTTTACTCTTACTTCTAAAACCAAGCTTGCTTCACATATTGTAAACAACGCCTAATATAACACGTGTTATATTACAGTTATATGTTGAATGGGAAATTACAACTAACGGGTACGTTACATGTAACTTTGTATTTGCTGGATTGTTATCAACGTTCAACTATAAAATTCGTATGCTTGAAACGTATTGCGCATATAATTTATTTTATTATCATTATATATTCTCAAACGCGCGATCGGTCGCGTTTTAATTTATGGCTGTTAAGGGGATCCTAAAGATCTGTATTACCGACTTAAACACGTATAATTTTTGTATAACGGATACTCTTTTTCTCTTTCACGAATTGGAAAATCCTTTTCCAGGATTGGAGTATACGCATTAATACGTGTTTGTGAAGTGGAGTCTACGCTGAGAATGATCAAAAATTTCGGAATCGATATATTTTTTACCATTTCTTAGTGTAACATGGCGTCTCAGCTGTCAAGTCGTGACAACATTTGCTTAATATGAAAGCTTTGCAACCCGAATGTACGAAATAATAGTTCCCAAACATGTAATTTACGCGAACATACAACGTCGAGTTCTTAGAATTAGATTTAGACGCTTTATCGCAACGAATTCGTTGTACGAAAATTGACACGTATGTGTGACTGCGTGTATCATAGGCTACGTGAGATATTGCTGTGATCTTTGACTATAATACTATATACCTCTGGACTGCTAGTTACCCCCACTTTTCCTACCTTTTCCATAAGATAGAAAGAGAGGACCGTGTATCCAAGATCTCAGAGCCATCAG